ACCCTGGGCACGCTGCTGTAAAGGTAGGATGGGCCCGCCTCCACGCACCCCCCTGACTTCTGGCTCACAGAGCAGCGCTGAGCAGAGCTTTCTGAGCTACGTCTGGGAACAGGAGAGCCATGCAGACCCTGTTATAGGTTTAGTCCGCTAGGCACATGCATGACAGCTGTGAGCTGTGGGCCATCAGGGTACATGGACCAAGATCCAGCTCTCTATGCAGCACAGCGTGGGACTTCCCTGCAGGGGAAGCCTATGCGTTTGCATTTCTTTGGGCTTAGCGCCCACTAGTTTGTTCCTGACTTAAAAGACTTCCTAAGTTCATCCTAGAGGTAGACACAGCTGGTCGTAACACACACAGAATTTGTAAGCGCCATCAAATGAGCAGAGGGGAAGTTGAACTTCATGCAAGGGAAGCCGACCTGAAGGCCTTGCGCAAGTAAGACCTCCCTCGGTCCAGCCAGGCTCCCTATGGAAGTGCAGGTAAAGGGGCGATGTTCTTCGTGGTAGACAAAGAACTACAAGCATTTAGCATATCGTTGGTTTCAGTTCTCAGCGTTGTATCTCGTCGTTCCCAGAGTGCGCTCTCCTCCTTAGCTGCCTGGGAGTCATTTAGCCTTCCTAGCAGTTTATCCCATGCAACTCCTAATTGCTTTGGGGGCATGTCTCTCACCTCTGTGACCGCCACTTAACAAATATTGAAATGACTCTTCGGAACTATTTTACTAGTGGTTGTAGACTGAGTCAGAATCCATGTTAAAGTAAGAGCCCGTGGTCCCCACCCCTGCATACACAGAAGTGGACGGCAGGCATTTTGGCTGCCCAGTAAGCGCCCCCACCGAACTGCAGTGGCTTAAACCTCGCTTCCAATTCACTCAGCTCAACAGCTTTGCAATCATGTGATTGCTGCTGAAGTGTGTTCACCGCAGGTGGAAGGAGGAGATGATTCACATTATTTCCAAAGTTGTGTACAAAGAAATTGTATGAACATTTCCACCAAAGTATTTTAAATTCCATAGTTCAAATTAGCAAAGCTTCAGGCCTGTGCACTCTGAGAAGGTTGCCCTGAGGGAGGACTGAGAGCCAGCTGATCAGGCAGCACTGCACCTGTGGTTTACATAAGAGCCCACATCCCTTCTGATTGGTCAATGCCTCTGACTTCTCCTTGTTGAATATTCATCATCTCTAAATTAAGAGGATCCTAGAGGGCTTCTCAAAGAAGGAGGCAACCACGCTGGGAACCCCCTCTGCCCTGCTGACTGTGAGAGGCTCCTGGGAGGCCAATGTGAATGCACAGCAATGCTCTCAAGTGGGAAGTCTCCTATGGAGAGGAAGGTGTTCCACGCAGGCCCTGGGGGCGTGGTCACAGGGTTCCTGCTCTCCAGGAGCCTGTTGGGTATCACAGCACCGCTAACATAGTGCTTTGAGCAAGTAAGGAAAATGTGCCCCTAAGAAGTTGACTAGACATTTCTCCAAAGATAAGGAAATTGCCAATAATCACTTTAAACGTGTTACATGTCATTAGTCATCAGAAAAATGCAAACCAAAACCACAACAAAATACTGCAGCACACCCACCAGAATGCTATAGTAAAAACGGAAAAATAGCAACTGCTGGTGAGGATGTGGGGACTGGAACTCTCAGATGTTGCCAGTGGAAAATTACATTTATATAATGTAAAATGGTTTCCATCCACTATGGAAAGCAGTGGTGGCCCCTCGATAAATTAAGGGTTGAGTTATTGTGTGACCCAGTAATTCCACTGCTAGGTATTTGCCCAAGAGAACTGAAAACAGGTGTTCAAACAAAAACTTGTACACGAATATTCATAGCACACTACTCACAATAGCGAAAAGTCGAAACTAACCCAAAGGTCCATCAGCTGAAGAATGGACAAGCATGTGGCATATCCACACAATGGAATATTATTCAGCCATAAAGAGAAATGAGTGCTGATACATGATATACCATGAATGAACCTTGAAAGTGTTATTCTGAGTGAAAAAGCCCAACACAAAAGACTACATATTGTATGATTTCATTTCTATGAAACATCCTGAATAGCCAAAGCCATAGAGACAGAAAGCAGAAGTGGCTCCTGGGGGCTGCAGGAAGGAGCGGGGGGGGGGGGGGGG